CTCCCTGTTGCCTAACTGACCTCAAATTCACCAGATCACTTAAGATGACCTTGAATTCTTGGCATTCCTTCCTTGAGGGGGGATGTCCTCCTGTATATATGTTTCTCTTATTGGTTGATGAATAAAACACTGACTAACCAGTAGCCAGGCAGAAAGTATAGGCAGAGTTTACCAAATAAGGAGAATTCTGGGGAGAGAGGCAGACAGAAGTGGCAAGGGAGACGCCATGTAGCTGCTGAAAGAGAAATGCGCAGGAACATTCTCTGGTAAGGTAAGATCACGTGGAAATACTTAGATTAATGGAAATGGGTTAATAATTAGGAGAGAGCTAGCCAATAAGAAGCCTAAGCCATCAGCCCAACACTTTATAATTAATATGAGTCTCTATGTGTTTATTTGGGGCTAATGACTGTAGGACCAGGAGGAACAGAAGATCCATCTACACTTCCTCAGCCTCTACGTTCTGGCATAATAGTTTTGAGGGTTAAGCACAGGTATGTAATGCCTATATTTACACCACTTCTTTGGGGCATCTGTCTTGTTCCTGCTACTGCTGGTGTTATGGATCAGTTGGACCGAATTAAAAATGTAATATGTTTCTCTATGAAACTAACTGAAAGGATCAGAACTGAATCACAGATGAAGATGCACATTCCACAGCCCTGGAGGTGAGGACAACCACAGATGAAGAAGCACACTCCACAGTCGTGGCATTGAGGGCAATCGCAGGTGAACAAGCACACTCCACAGTCCTGGTGGTGAAGGTGATCTGAGCGGCATGTATTTGGGTCCCTTCTTCCTATGAAGAAAGAGTCTGTAAGAAGCCTAGCTGGGAACTGAACCTGAACTGCGCCATGCCCCCCAGCTCCTGATTCGAAAGCTCAACCTCCTTCCTGTCACTGCCCCTTTCCTCCATATGTTTCTGAGGCCACACGTCAGAGATGGCTGAATTTGGATGTGCCTTTTTCCCTGATGAAGTATCATTTATTTAGGGAATCCCTGAGAATCTGCTGCAAATATTCATCAAGACAGCCCTGCCCAGGGACTGGCACTTTTCTGGGCCCCTTGGAACTTCTTAACAAATGCTTTAAAAATCCACCCTCTTGCTTCCTATACCCTCCCGGGCCCTGCTTTGAAGACAGTTTCCCCCATTAAACCAGTTAAAAAAAAAAAATCCTAAACAAAGTTACTTTCTTCGTGAGTCTGTTCCCAGCTTGCCTGTGGGTCAGCTGCGTGGTTCCAATGCCTCTAACTATAATTACAAGGTGAAATATTTCCTCGTGAGGCAACACAGCCATTTCTGTCTTTTAGGAAGTGAAATGTTGAGTACTAATCCATAATCAAACAAGGAGGGAAAATAGCTACTTAGCATATGCACAGAACAAAAACCCTAGCTCCAATTAGTAATGATATAAATTTGAGTCAGAATAGCCAATTTGCCAGCATGAAATTCCCCATTAGGAAAGTATCCCTCCTTTCCTGCTACAGGAGCTCCTTCGTGTTCAAATAATAGAGCACCTGAGAGGTCCAGCCTTCCCATTAATGCCTATAACTATGGCCATGTAGAGTTGTCACCTGCTTAAAGGGATGCAGCATTATCCCACAGGCTGACTAATACAAACATCACCATAACAGGGATAGCCAGAATAGCCATACAGGGAGGACAGCACTCAGGGGAAAGGACCCTGGACTTGACCACGCTCTTAGAAGGCTTGATTGGCTGAGTCTGTCTGAACTTCCTCTCCTCGTCAGATGGGAAGGAATGGGTGGCTTGCAGATGTAGGAGGTGATTGGTAACAGGGACTGGGTGTCCTTTCCCTTTGACCCTAACTGTGAGCAGAATCTGCTTTGATGTCTTCTGTTAAATGAAATTCCTAGAAAAAAGGAAAAAACAAACAAACAAAAAACATGCCACACTTACATTAAGTATTTCAAAAGGCTGATTGATTACCAAAACTTGAGTGATTGTGGGGATTGGAATGTTGCAAAGCCAAATTAATCCTGGCCTATTTTAAGCCCCGAAAAACCATTTATTGCCAAGCTCTGTACATGACCTCACATCTTCATGACTCTTTAGAAATGAACAGATAAGACCCCTTGCTTCCATCAACCCCAAAGTTAAGAATACCACAGGCAAGCATCCAAGGTCTAAAGCAGATGTTTCCTCATTTTACTGTAACCCAACTACCTGTTCCACCAACACATCTGAAAATGATTATGGGTTGTTTTCTTGGCGCTGTTGCTACAAAAGCTTTACAATACTTTACCATGCTGGGATGTGGTATTTAAGGGGAATTTGAATCTGTGTCCCTGGGCCACGGTCACTCATACTTAATCCCAGAATAAACTCTCTCACATTCCCTTTGAAGTGAAAGCTGTGTTTCTAGTGGTGACACTTGTCGGTTGTCACGTAGTGGGGGTGGGGTGTAAGCAGACCTGCATCATGTCTTAGTTATCCCATGCTTCAAAGAGAAGTTCTCCCTTCTCTGCCCTTTGGCATTGAAAAGGAACTTTCCTAACTACCATTATCTGTTACTGCAGAAATATTTCAGAGGCAGAGTGTTTATCTTGCTTCTTAGAATAAGGCTGTCTTATGAATGCCGTCTTCAAAACCCAAGGCTTAAAGACAGGGAGCCCCTTGCCTTGTGTTTGAGGCATATAGTGATTGTACTCTGAATAGCAAAAGGGATTTCTTCCTTTGTTCCTGTGAGTGTAGAATTCATATTTATTATTTTATTCCTTCTAGTAAACGCCTGGCATATATAGTAGAGATATAGTCAATTAAAGATACTTTCAGACAAGAGACAGAATTTCAAGAATGAATGTAAAATATTGACATAAGACAAATGACATACATAAAGATAATTTAGAAACACTAAGAAACAAAAAGAAGGGAAAAACTAAATCTACATGTTAAGAAAATAAGCTAAATGAAAAAGATCAACAAAAAATGGCACTGAAAAAGAGGTGTCAAGGACAAATATTGGTGATGGAAATAATTGTAGAAGAGTCAAGAAAGTGCTGAGTTTAATAATTGCTTTAAGAAACCATAGAAGTGTACTAACAAGCCTTTTGGAATTTTCAGAGTGTGGGGTGTGGTTTTGGGATGGTGTGGGAGTTTATTTTTTGGGGGGGTGTTTTGTTTCATTTTTGTAGTGCTGGGAATTGAACTTAAGATCTTACCCATAGCAGGCAAGTGTGTTATCAACAGACCTGCATCAACCAGTAGCTTGTTGGAGCTTGGTGTGTGCAAAGTGTCATGTTGACTGCCAGAGCAGAGGCAGAGGACCTGGGTTCAAGTCCCAGAAACATTACTTCACTGCGGCAATTTCCTCAAAGCATCTGACTTCTCTAGTCCTTATTTCCCCAACCAAGGTGCATGTGTTATAGATTAAAAGTAGCAAATGAGATCATTCAACCAACTGGTGAAGATGACCAGGCTTAAACATCGTGGAAACAAAAACAAAGACTCAAGGAAACTGAAGCACCGTAGTAGCCTCAAAGGTTGGATCCATGGACCTGAATAGCAGCAATAGGTGCAAGCTGAGGACCTGTACCTGGGGAGAGACCCAATCCCTAGTGGTATTTAGGGCTCCACGTGGGTGTGGTGCACCCATACACTGCTTCAGCTTGACAGGTAACTGTATGGACAAAAGGCTGACATCTGCAGCCCTGGATAGATGCATTCTCTCTAGCTCATTTAGCTTACCAATTCTGTCATTCCTTAATGTTCTCATCTGCAAAGGAATAGCCAGCATGTACATTCTCCTCTTCTTCTGTGATTTTAGTCAGAGGAGGTAAAAGCGCATAATGGTTTGGATTTAAAAACTGATGATTGGGTGGCCTGAAAACAAAAGAACATTTAAAATTATCCCCTCTGCCACTCATAGGCACCATGGTGCTCACTCAGCCTTCTGTTCATTGGCTTGATTTCTTGATCAATTTAATTTCTATTTGACAATTAAGTCATTAGACTTTCCACAATCATAAATCACTCTCTTTTAAATGTATTTAACTCTAGAATGCCACCTTGGTTGTTATTACTATTATTTTTATTGGTGTGCTAGTCACTGTTTTATTACTATGAAGAGACACCATAACTGAAGCAATTCTTATAAAAGAAAGCATTTAAGTGGTGACTTGCTTATAGTTTCAGAGGTTTAGTTCATTATCATGTACCAGGGAGCATGGTGGCATGAGCTGAGTAGTAGCTGACTTTCACATCCCGAGCCACAGAGAGAAAGAGAGAGAGAGAGAGAGAGAGAGAGAGAGAGAGAGAGAGAGAGAGAGAGAGACTGGGGTCTGGTGTGGGCTTTTGAGACTTCAAAGCCCACCCTCAGGGGCATGCTCTCCTCCAGCAAGCCCATACCTCCTAATCCTTCTACTTCTCACAAATACTTCCACTCCCTGGGGACCAGGCATTCAAATAGATGAGCCTATGGGACCATTCTTATTCAAACCACAACTGGGTTAGCATACAAAATATTGGGTCTCATCATGGTGTCTCCATACACACATGCTATTATATTTTGCTCTCATTCCTTCCCCTCTCCAACTGTGTTCCCCCATCATTCCCCTCCAACAGGTTCTCTGTCTTCTCCCAGTTAGTCTCTCTCTACTTTCATAGCAAACTTACTCTATTACATCCCTATTTCTACCTTCCCACCTCCCTTAAGATCTCATTCTCACTCTCATGATCCTCTCTAGTTTTAATACCTACAAACATGTATAAACACACACCATATATATGTACATATATGCAATATATGTATTTTTAAATCTTGCTTCTGCATATGAGAGAAAACATGCAGCATTCCATGTCTGGCTCATTTTGCTTAACATAGTGATTCTAGTTATCTCCTTTTTTCTACAGATGCCACAATATCATTTCTCCTTATGACTTTGTAAAATTCCATTGTATATATGAGCCACATTTTTTTTTTTCTTATCCGAGCTGGTTCCATTTCCTGTCTATTGTGAGTAGTGCAGCAATAAACACAGCTGTGCACATATGACTGTGATGTGTTGACTTGGAGTCCTTCAGAGTAGTATAGCTTGGTCATGTAGTAGCTTTATTTTCAGGTTTTGTTTTGTTTTGTTTCATTTCCATAGGGGTTGCCTAGTTTGCTCTCCTACTAGTGGAGTGAATAATGGTTCCTTTCTCCCATATCCTCACTGGCATTTGCCACTTGGTTTCCTGATGATAGCCATTCTGCCTGAGGTGAGTTGGAATCTCAAAGGAGTTTCAACATACATTTTCGTTTTGGCTAAGTATGTTAAAAAATTGTTGAACAAATATTTGTTGGCTATTCAAACTTCTTTTGAGAACTGGTTATTCAGTTCACCAGTCCTTCTATTGACTAGATGATTTGATGGTGTTGAATTTTTGAAATGCTTTATATGCCTTGGATATTAATCCCTTTTTAGTTGGCACAGATTGTTTTCTGTACTGTAGGCTCTTTGCTTTGCATAGTTTCAAAATACAATATTAAACAAGCTTCCTTTCAACTGAACTTGAGAAAAACAAAACAAAAGCCTTTCAAGTTCTTTCCATAATAGAAAATGTATTTTGCTTTTCCCAGGCTGTTTGCAAGATGAGGTTACAGGTGTTTGTCCTACACGCTCAGTTCCTCCACTTTAAATGTAGGTTGTTTTTCTGTCACAGTTTTTTGAAATGATATACTTTGTGAGAATTTTAGATTCATCAAAATACCTGAAAGCATTTCTTTTCATAGAAAGTGTTAGCTGTCTGCTTGTATGCTTTGAATGTAAAAGGCTGTGCCATATGCCACCGTATCTTTCAGATTTTGTCTAGGGGATGCTGAAAATGTGATAGGAAAACAAGGAGGTTCTGCCATCTACATATTGTACTTGTGACTCACCTAACAGCTAGGTGACTCAGCTGCCCCAGCTGTGGGTACCATGTAGCTAAATAACTGGATGGTGAGCTGAAGTGTTCATTCTCACCAGAACATTTTACTTTGTGTCTCCTTATCCATGGTGTCTGATGTGCATGTTGAATGGATATGCTTACAAACAGACAGAGTTCCTGAAACAACAGCCTTGAGCAATAGTTTCAAATAGGAAATTTGGGGTCAGCTATTTCCTTCATCTCTGGCTATACATTTCTAACAATGAGTGACTCTTTTTGGTCTGTTCCAAAAATCCTCAGTGTCATGCCAGAGAAAGCTGGAAGAAGGGCCTCCTGCAATCCAGGGCCAAAAACTGATGACCGTGATGATAAATACAAATTGCTGGTACATGATACTCAGGCAGGAATGTAGCAAGGACTGAAAGAATGACAGAATATGGCAAAGTCTCCACTGATGGAATTTACATGATGCATCATGCTAAAGGCTGCATGTCTCACTGGATTCATACAATTTTATGATGCAAAAGCTGTCATCGCCACCTTATTTTATTTAAGCATGTAAGAACCTTGAGAAACACAAAGCAACAAGGATTGATATTCGTCTTTGGAGACAAACATTCAAAGCACACTGTTAATAGTAAGTCTAGAGCAGCTTGCTGGGTTGTAGCTAGCTAGCCTCCTCAAAGCAACTCTGAACACTTGCAATTCAAATCATCCCAGGCTGGGGATGTGTACTGATGGCACACCCTCCTGGCAACCTCACAGGTCAGAGTAATGATGGCAGCCAGCCCTGTCCCGATCCAAACTTTCATTACTTGAATTCTCACTCAATGTCTTATAGTCTTTGGGCAAAGTCAGTGAATGAGAGAGCCAAAGTTATCAGTCTTCAAAATCAAAATGCAGGCCATTTGAGCTACTCACACGGGCTAGGCATGATTTATAACACTTCAGGTCAAGATGACATGGTTCCTTATATTTTAGCAGTCTTGAACATAGTATTTAATGTGAGATTTATAAAATTAGGCCCTGGAACACCAAGGTAGACTGGTGTTACCCACCATGTTGGCCTGTTTAAGCTATTAAATTCTGGCTACAGCTACTTTAAATGTTCACTGTAGTACTGTGAACATTTCTATTAAATTCCATTTAAGGGGACACGTCTCTAAGATGAAGAAAAGAAATGCACACTTTTTTTGTCCTTGGAATGTGCTAGGTCATGACATATCACACAATGGTACCATGAGGCAGACAAATGAAAAAATTGAACACAGAAAACTTTTGAAAGCAAACAAGCAAATAATTGTCATCACAATTATTTCATTATGGCTGACAACAAAAAGACAAAGGAGACCGAAAGTCTCCCAGAATGACAGGACAGTTATAAAAGACTCATGAATACAAAGGGTATTTCTAAGAGGCAGAGACATTCTCACAGTACACAATGTACAGTAAATCCTCATTATGCTGATCACAGAGCTTCTTTTCCCCAAATAGTATGTAATTCAAAAACAATTCCCATTCCTTGGCTGCCTAGATGGTCCTATTGTTATTTTATTAAAATACAAGCTCATTTTAACCTAGCTAATTCAAAGTCAAATTTTACCAGCCTCTTACATGTTAACTAATGAGATTTTACTTCAACTCTGTTTGTCTCCTGGGCCCTAGCAACTCCCAAATTGCCCACAAGAAAGCGACTTGCCGTGTAAAAGGAAATCACTACATGGAATGGTAAGAACATATGTGAGAAAATACATGTTGAATATCTTTGTGAAATTCTGAATTCTCCTTGGTTTTTAAAATCTCCCCTTACATTTATATAATAAATTATAATCTGAACACATCCAAACTACATGGATTCTCAGAAAGGAGGAAGGTGGGAAAAGTGAGAAATGTTGTTTCTCATGGGAAACAAAAGCCCTGAGTACCTAACGACACTACCCTACTTCAATCCTCCCAGCTTGGGTCCTGGAGCCCTGGCTGGAGTGGGGGTTGGGAGGAGCTGAGAAAACTAAGAAAGGACAGACACATAGACACAACTGGAGTCAAATGCTGTGTGTGGGCTCTACTGGAGTGGCACCTACAACCTAAAACCTCGGCATATTTATTAGGAGCAACACAAGGTTAGGGATGTGCTAGCCCTAATAGGAGGTCCCTGGAGGCAAATAGTCTCAGACTGTAAATATCAGGGAGAAGTTTTTATACATACTGGTTACTCCCTCTAACTTGGATACCAACCCCACACACACACACATCACCACCCCATCTTACCCCCACCTCCCCACCCCTACCCCCACCATTGCAATTCTTTCTGAGATTGAACCATTCCATGCTACAGGGAAGCATGTTGAGACAGAAAGTAAATAATTCAAAGACCTTCAGGAAGTCCCTGAAAGTGACCAGATTCTCTAGGTTCCCCCCTGCCCGGGAGTAAACAGTGAAGACTCCTAGGAGTCACTCCCAGATAAGCCAAATTATAAAGAAGACTCAAATAAGGCAAGCTGCAAAGAAGACTCTGAGACTAGCCACGCTGCCCCAAAGTAGCAGAGAATAGCCTAACTGCTTGGAAGCAACAAAGACCAGGTAGGAAAAGTTACTCTTGAACTGTTGAGCTGCCTGGAGGCTATGCAGTGTGTTCCAGATTCCCAGCTTTTGTGAGCTGTCACTCATGCTAGGGTGAGCTTTAGTGTCACAGCTGTCTTTGAGTCATGTGTACTCCTATAAATAACCCTTCACCCATTTCTGTAAGTAACCCTAATAAAACTCATTGGTTCATGAAGTTGGACTTTAGGATAGGGTATCCATATTTTGGTTTTTCATGCCTTCTCACACAATTCTCACTGCACTCAGGACCCCCAATAGCTCTCTCCTACCTAGAAAGCCCTCCAGATTCTCTGCAAACTTTTATACAGATGCCATGGGTTATTTTCAATTTCTGCATGGTTTTCCTCCTTTTAGAAATAAAAACATTCATAATTGAAAATACATTTCCTGAACAAGGTATGTCAAAAATTTATGAGATTTTCTTTCACAGATGTAGTTTCAGTGTGTACTCTAGGAAGGATGAATCTTCATTGGTCTGAAAGCCTCCTGTAGCACCTTACACACTGAATGAATACAAGAGCAGTCCATCCCTCAGTTGAAGACTGGGCCAAGAAAATTTGGCCCTGGTGGGGATTTATATTAACTACTCATCTTACTGTCTTTGACAGAATATCCACAAAAGCAGCTTCAGAGGTAGGGGGTTTTCTAATGCTGTACATCATGGCAGGGAAGGCAGGGTGGCAGTAATTTGGGGCAGCTGGTCACACTATGTCCACAGTCAGCAAGTGTTGGGGGATAATGCTAGTCCTCATCTTGTTTTCCTTCTTTATGTCCAGTTCAGGAACAGCCAGTCTGAAATGTCCTCAGAGGTGTGCCCAGAGCTATGTTTCCTAGGTCATGATTCCAAAGCCAGTGGAGCAGAGACAACAGTAAGAAAAAACATCACAGGATCGATGAGTAGACTTCTCTCATCTGAATAGAGTTCTTGCCTCTGGGACTAGGGATGGTGCCTATTGTGGAAACATAGACATTTGAAATTCAATCAGAAGTCAGCTGAGGATGCACACACACACACACACACACACACACACACACACACACACACACACACACACACACACACCTATATGCATGCATACACATCTGGCCCAATGTAAACAAAGAGCTCTCTGGGAAGAATCAGATGGTGAGAACACTTGGGAGCTGTGTTCCATCTGTGCATTTGAGAAAGGTTTGAATACTACATTAGGTTGGAGGTTGAGAGCTCAGTGATCAGCTTCTGAGACTTGCTGAATGGGAGCTCCCACCTCTTACCACTTAGAGCCTTCTGGTCTAGCCAGGAGAAACCTGGTTAGCTCTCCTAAGAGACAGACCCTTAAATGGCAGAGTTCTGCTGTCCTCCTTGCTTTTGGTAATTACTTCCAGCGTGTACATATTTCCCACTTGTCTACAAGATAGGTGCTGATTTCCAACTCTTTGTCAAAGGGGGCAGAAGTAGCATCGGGACATGAAACCTTGTATGGTGTCTTGGACAAGGCCCCACCTTTCCGGTGAAAATAAGACACTGGACTGAGTTGGCCTGAGGTCCCATCTTTTCTGATGCCCTATTGAAGCTTCCCTGGAAGCGAAGGGGCATATATAGCTTTAAGAAGACAAGTAGAGGCATGTGGGTGTATTTGCATGTGTAGACAGAGTCATTGGTGATCTGCCTTGATAAAGCTACAGGTGTTCAACTTCCATTTATGTCTTTAGATAAATTCCCTGCTAAGTCTTAGTTCCTCATGGATCGCTGACTGTCTCACTTGGTTTGGGTGTAAACCAAAGGACATGATTTTTAGCCTGTGCTGAAATTTGTGCCTACACCAAAAGAAGTAATCGATACATGTTAGTCATTGTCATTCGTCCTCTATGGTACACCTCAAAGAGATTTACCAAACTCCTTCACAAGAAGACCCTGAACAGTGAAGCTCCATGGGCTGTTGAAGAAATGACGCTAATTACCTCATTTAAATTTCATCAAAGCTATACAGAGTTAAAATACTGTGATCCTCTTCCATTTTAAAGATAAAGAAACTGGTCAAATTGAAGACAAATACTCAATGACCAGCTCTCCAGGAAAGAAAAAAAAAAGTCTAGGTTGTGCTATGTTCTGTGGTATATATGGCCACAGTAGTTCAGCACAAGCTGCTGATACGGTGTTCCCGTTCCCAGATGGTATGCTGAGAAGAGCTGGGCTCAGTAGTCTCTCTGGACACACACAGTCCCAACAGACTGAGCATAGTGGGAAATAAATCACCAACTCTGAGCAACCCCCTGCACTTCTAGACAGTATGCCCCTGACTAGGCCCCCAGCTCTCAGCTCCACTCTATAATGCAAAAAGTGCTTCACATAAAAAACACCAAACTCAGAGACTGGGAACATGGCTCAGCAGTGAAGAATATGTACACCATACTGCTCTTGCAAAGGGTGAGAGTTCAGTTCTGACCACCCTCTTCAGGAAGTCCACAACCACCTGTAACTCCAGCCATAGGGGATCCAGTGCCTTTCGCAGGCCTCCTGGGGCACCAAACTCATGCATGAACTCACTCACAGACAGCTAGTATGTGTAACTAAAGCACATGAATAAAAGCTAAGAACAACAAAACAAGCCCCCAAACTCAGCAGCTAAGTTCCAGTGTCAAAGCTTGACCAGAAGTCTGCATGGAGTTTTAACTCTGTATCCATGCTGGTTTTGTCAGGAGAAGAACAATTGCTTTATTTCCAAGACTTGCAATCTACTCTGTGCTGCAGCTAACAGAGTAATTCATCTGCAAACTACAATAATCATAATGTTACAAATCAGACATCCTTCATTTGTAAATTTAATCAGGTCTTCAACAATGTGTAGCTTTCCTGGTTAGTTAGCGAACTTTAAAATGTTCCAATTGCTACGTGCTGAAAATATATACTCTGTATTATCTTTTATTGAGTGTTTTGTGCAAATCAGGCTTCTCAGTTGACACTGTTAATTCACTGCCGGGAGCTTATTAATAGCATACACCCAGAAGAGTCTAAATCTCACTGGGCAGTTCCAACACATGGTAGAGCCAGATATACAGAGCCCTTTCTTCCTGTTCTTAATTTAGAATATTCATTGACTTGGCATTTTAAAATGTACTGGAGGACAAACAAATAAAAAGGTGCTCAATTTTCTACTTCTCTTTGGTGGCTAAAATACCATTTTGTGCACCATAAAGCAACTATTAGACTTTATTCCTAGATAACACAAGTGTATCAAGCAAGCTGTTCAAACAGAAGAATCCACCCCAAAACCAAGGGTTTTTCTGCCTCTAAGAAGCTGTCTGATGCAATGCTGGCCAGGGCTGGGGGCTGCTGGTACTCCCTAAGCAATCTGTTATCAGGAAGGTCAAAGCCAAGGCACAGGAAGCCTGCGGTGCCCTAGCTGGCCATCCTCAGCCCTGCAAGTGTAAGTAAACAAAAGACAAATTGAGACAGAAGTAAATAAGTACAAAACAACTTGTACCTTCTATTTTCTGTGTTACATTAACTCCCTTGCAACCTTGGGCAGAGTAGCACTAACATGCTAACACTGTTTCCTTGAACTCAAGACCCAGCGACAGACACACTTGTGTATACATTAACGACTCTAGTTAAATGGCAGGCTTTCCCCAAAAGGGCCATGGTTGACCTAAAGAAGAATTTGCCTAAACATGGGTTTGAAAGGACTGTCCCAGCAGACAGGTTTTAATAGAAGGATGTCTCTGCCATGATTGAAATAACACCACAAGCACAAGCCACCAGAAACATCAACTTCAATTCTCATCCCCTCTTTACCTTGGCCCTCACCTCCATGTAACACTAAAACAGCAATTCTCCATAGTACTGTTGTCCACTCTGCCCCCTCTTCATTTTTATACTAAAGTAGGCTATCTCTGACTGGGTCCCTGACTCAGTTTGCTTCTTAGTCACTGTCTCTTAATGTCAGAAACTCTATCATCAACAAGCTTGTCTTGTGCGCACAGGGCCAAGAACAGGATACATTAGTGGCAATCACTGAGTATTTGTCAGAGTCTATTTTTTTGAAGGCAAATTGGAAGAGGGTGTTTCAAGGTTCAGAGTCATTCCAGAACCTGGCTGTATGGAGATATCTCTGTTCTTCTGCATCATTGGTGGTTTCTCTGTGGCTGGAAATGAGCTCTGGTCTTCCTGAGGCTGAGTGATCTGACAGAAGCAAGCTCCCAGGTATGTTTTTGAAACATCTGTGGAGATGTGGCAGGTTGAGTTCATCTCCTACTCACTCTTTTGAGCTTGATTTACTGTTAATATCTCAACACAAGAAAAATATGTGAGAAAGACACTGCTGGAGCCGGGCGTTGGTGGCGCACGCCTTTAATCCCAGCCCTCGGGAGGCAGAGGCAGGTGGATCTCTGTGAGTTCGAGACCATCCTGGTCTACAAGACTAGTTCCAGGAAAGCCTCTAAAGCCACAGAAAAACCCTGTCTCGAAAAACAAAAAGAAAGAAAAGAAAAGAGAAAGACACTGCTAGAAGCCTTGTCTTAAAACAGTGAAAACAGAGAATAGGGTGGTTTTCCAGATGATGCAACCTCCCGGTTTGTAAACAGAAATGCTCATTTTAGCCTTGACAGCAAGCACTGCAAAGTGACTTCTGAGTGACTTGAGAGACCAATTCATAATTCCATTACTTAACAAGGACACTTATGGAGAATGGGGATGTAGAAATGTATCCTTGATACAATGATTCCTGAGCACTTAACCATCCTTCTATGCACAGTTGTAAGTACTATTCCTAGGTTCTTTATTATTCTCACAGGAGAGTATCTGAGATGAGCTCACCTGTGACCCCTATTCTACAGATTCAGAATTGAAGCATATTACAAACTAGCTATAGGTCTCGAAGCTCATACATTGGTAAAGCCAAGACTCAGGTCCAGATTTATATGACCATAGAGCCATGTGATGATGTCTGTGAGGGATTATCTCAAACAAGTTTTTTTTTTTTTTTTAAGATTTGTTTATTTTTAATTTTATGTATATTTTATGTATATGTGCATGTGTCTGTGTGTGGGAATGAATACTGGAGTGCAAATGCCTGTGAAGGCAGAAGATGTTGGATCTCCCAGAGCTGGGGTTACAGGAGGTTGTGAACTCCCCAAGATGGGTGCTGGGAATGAAACCCACATCCTCAGGAACAACAGCATGTGTTCTTAACTTCTGAGCCATCTTCCCAGTCCTTGTCTTAAGTCAGTTGATGTGGGAAGACCTGGCCCATTGTAGGTGGCACCATTCCCTAGGCAGAGGTCGCTGAATGGCATAAGAGTGGAGAAACCAAGGTGAGCACAAACACATGAGCAGATAAACATGAATGCACTCATTTCTCTCTACTCTTGGCTGTAGATGTGGTATGACTCAAAGTTTAAAGCCCCTGCCTTGATTTCCTTACAATGACAAGTTGTAACCTGAAATTGTAAGCTGAAATAAATCCCATTATCACAGCAACAGAAATGAAGCGAGGACAGGTTTCAAGCCCGTGTTTATTGCGCATTGCCATTACCCAAGAGGAGTGACAAAGAAGTGTAGGGAGACACCGTAACCACGACTCTTAAGGGTGTGTACTGACTTCAATCAAGTTGAGGATTTCAACCTAGATCTTCAATCAAGGAAATCCCATCTAACATGGACTGGATATAACCGGTTAGAGACTTTCACTATACTAACATTTTTCCCCACAGGACCCCACAAGGCTACCATCGTCCCATTTCAGCAGGAAGTAACTTGGAGGATGCTACGCCCCCGTTCCCCATTATTGTCTATTAGGGTAGTGTAAGCCTGGTTAGGAATGACCTTCCTATTGTTTAGGGTTGGGATTGGAAGGAGGTGTTCAGGTTTGGACACCTCTTTCAGATGATTTTAGGGTTTAGCTGAAATAGACATAGTTAGGATGTGACATAAGCAGATTATTGTATCTTCTTGTATTTCACCTTTATGATTGTTAATTTTGGATATTTTACACTATTAAGTTTTAATCCTCTTTTAGACTAAAGGGGGAATTGTAGGAAGATACCGTAACCACACCTCCTAAGGGCTGGCTACAGGTGTGGTCAAGGTGAGGTCAGAGTGACGCGGCATGGGCTCTTAAGGGACCACGAGCACATGGAACACCGCTTCCCCTTCGGCTGGCCCTTCTCTCTGACCTCCCTGCCTTGCTGCCCCTGGGCATGCTCTGGCTTGCGTTTGGCTGGTATTTATCTGAATAAAGGTATCTTGAATCTACAAGTGTTTCCCTTCAAAGAAGAGCTTGAGTATGTGTGTTCAGAAGTGACTACCATGAGGGTGGAGAGCAACCACCTATCCAGCAAAACCAAAGCCTTGGCCTAGACAGGAATACAGAAGAGGGACCACAGCAACCTTCATGGAGGGTGAGTGGTTAAACTAATCCCAGGTATGTTAAACAAAAGGGCTGGAAGGGGACAAGTCTCCCAACCAAGTGGAATAACGAAGGCCAAGGCTCTAGGGAGCTGAAGCCCAGAGGGAGTGTCTGTGAGTCTAACTCATGTGGACCTGACAGAAACAAGACTCTGTTTTGTTCCTCACTGTTTCTTGTATTTACAGCAAGTCTCAAAAATACACAGGAAAAACCCAAAAACATTTCACTTGGAAAACACAAGTAGAAAACAAGCTTTGGATGTCCTTGAAAGTCTGAGTTTAGCTAGTCTTCTGTTTGCAGTACAAGATTATGAAATGTCACACTATTGAGAAAGGGGCATGATCTGCAGTTTACATTAACTAGGAAGTTACTCAAAGGACAAGCTGGCTCATGGAGACATGAGGGCAGGGGTCAGATGAAGACAGGGGTCATAGGAGGACAGATAAAGTCAGAAGATTATAAATCACCCAAGCAAGAAGGAATGAGGTTTAGACATTGAGATGAGGGGAGGACATGGGTTGCCAAGAGTAGATGCCCAGAGGAGAAAGTGTACTGTCCCTTCTCAGCTCACCTGCAGACAACAGAAAATCCTTATAGGGACTCAAATCTCCCTGCACATAAACAGCACCTTGACAGAAGAGGACACAGTTACCCAATCATACTAACACTTCATTAAATGACTAAGTAGTATGTAATCCCAGACATCTGCCTAGAAATTCTCTAATATGCATCTTCTTGGCAAGAAAGACCAAACATTCTGATTTTGGATTGAGCTTTTGTTCTTTGGCTAAAGGCATTGAGTTTTGACACACACAGCCAAGATCTCTATCTTTAAATTATCACCCAAGTAATTTTTCACAAGCCATTAGTGTCTGTTTCAACTTTCAGCCCTGGCTAGAACTCCACCCATATGGAGTCCAAGTCTGGATAGTGACAATACTTTTCTCATTCTGACCTGTGGGGCTGCCATTGTACTTCCAGAATTCCATGGAAGGCCCTCACTGTACTTGGCCTAGAGAAAAAAAATCTCAACAAAAAATTTCACACCAATTGTGTGAGTAGTAATAGGACTATGACCAAATACTGGGACTAGAAGGAACCAAGCACTAGGAGCCTCCCTTCTGTTCTATTTCAGCTAGAATGTAGAGTCTGGGAGAATTTGATTTGCACATATTCAGGGCTCTTTCTCTGTGGGCTCCACCATTAGTAATGTTCCTCCCTACTGGGGCAGACACTGCATAAGATCTTCAAAGTGCCCTGTTCTTGAAAGCAAAGGCTAGTTGTCTACACACCCAGGAGATGAACATCTCTGGGTAGGGATTAAGGCCACAGTGCTTTCATTGTGATGCCAAATACATTGGCATGGGAATGTCTGAATATGCCCCTGGTTTTAAGCACAATGATTTTTAGGGTAGTGCCATTGGTGCTCAGAAGGTGACATTGTATTACAGCTGAGGCAGTTTGGCACATTTCCTCTCACCTGTGGCTCCCCGTTCTCAATGCCACCATTCTTCACCACTGTCAACCCACAAATAGGACGTGCAGAATCCTCAACAAACGCACCATTTTCCCTTCAGGAAACAGCTCAGCTGTCTCCATCCTCTTGTCTCTCAGGACCTGTGTTCTCTTTTGCCCAGATTTTCTGAAAATCAGACAAGGCTCACCTAGCAGAACTGTGCCCAGGCTTGCTGACCACAGAGGCAACTTCCTCTGCACAGACACCTGAAGTCCAGCCATCTTTGTTTTAGCTGAGTTACATGATTCTTTAGAAACAAACCTAACTAACAGCATGCCTATTGATTCTCCTTCCCAGGATCGCTTGAAATGTTTTCCTTCCTTGGTGGCTGGCAGCTAGGTGCTCCCTATGGGACGCAGGTGAGGAAAAGACCATGGACTGCACCTTGCCTGGGCTACCTCTCTCCTTCCTGGGCTTCACTTTGCCAACTCAGTCTCAGAGTAAACTAATGTTGAGTCCAAATTCTGAACCCCAAAATCAAGAGACCCAATCCAATGCAAAAGCAAAGAGTGTTTTATTAACAAGTTGACTGTGTTAACTGAAATCCTCCATCTGTTTGACACAGCAGGTGGAGTGAGAAGGACCCAGAGGAACTGAAGGGCAGGGAATTTATTGCGGTAGAGCAAGGGGAGTGTCTGGGGTCCACAACAGTCTCAGGATTGGTACACTTCTGAGTTTGGGTGACCTGTCCTGGGTTGATTAGCAGATAGGCCCTCCCATGGCAGTTGCTATGCTCTGCACTCCACTGTTACTGTAAAGCACATCCAGCGCTCACCAACTAACTTCTAATTGGTTCCTTGCCACGTGGAGGGTATCTGGCTTCCTAGTGACTGAAAGGTTGGGCAAGGTCAGGAAGCTCAGCACATGCTGCTGAGTCAGAGGCCTACCTCTTGCTGGGTCTTTTCTGCAGCCTGTCATAGCTGCCAAAGCAGGGAGCTAGATGAGGGTCTGGTCCCTTCACTAAGACATTGTAAATCTCTATCAAGACTCTGGTATCTTTTGAAATAAATCAGTCACCAACGGTATGTACCTCAAATTTAATTGACTGGTGATCCATGTTACAAGAGGTCAGAAAGGGATTTTTCAAAAAAGATTGAATGGCTTCAATCATTTTCATTGCCTTTCTTTTAACCCACTTGACTTTTTAAGAATAACTTTTAAACTGTTCTCCTTAAACACCAAGGATAATGATAACTTAAATAAAAGAAGAATATTGATCTATGATTGCCTCATAAAAGATTTCAGGTGATTTGTATATCAAGGAGAAAGAAGGTGCTTTAAAGGTAAAAAGGTACAGGAGAGATGGATTATTAGTTAAGAGTGTACACCACTCTTGCAGTGGACCTGCATTCAGTTCCCTGGTACCAATGCCAGGCAGCTTCCAACCTCTTATAGCTCTTGCTGCAGAGGATCTGACACCCTGACACCTGTGGACTCCATAAGCACTTACACACACACACACACACACACACACACACACACACACACACACCACACACACACACACATGTGTGCTCACACACCCACTCCATACAAATATACATATATATTGTGAATGAAATCCATGAAAATAAGTCTTTAAATCAATACATAAACTATAAAGGGAGTCCAGCTTATGTATGTCCAATAATTCTTCATTTTGTCTTCCCTATTTGGGATGAAGAAAACAAGAGAGACCTTAGCTTAGAGGCAGGACTAGGAGAGTTAAAGCCAGCACACACACACACACACACACACACACACACACACAAGCCTCAGCTCACATCCAAAAGGAAATAAGAGTTTATTGTGGAGCTATATGTGAATGATTATAGCCTGAGAATATGGATTCAGTTTTCCCTAAAAAGGCATGCTCCCCCGTGGAAGTGGTATGTGGGATTTTGCTTGTAGAAAACTTTAAAAGTCCAGCTTCTAAAATTTTCTTTCAGGGTTCAAAAGAAGGAAAAATAAATAAGCGAGGGAACTAGAATCTGAGAGAAAAAAGGAATTGACTCACACACAGTTGCTCCTCTGCATGTTCTTTATTCTTCTTCTGCTCTCTTTTTCTCTTGCTGTTCTGTTTCTGTTTCTATCTCTCCATTTCTTTGTCCCTCCAGTTCTTGTCTTCCCTTACTTCTTGGTTTCCAGGTATATATATATATATATATATATATATATATATATATATATATAGGTTTGCAAGAGTAATTCTTTTTACAATACAATGTAAGGTTTGAGTTTCTCAGGGTCAGTAAGGCAGATAACATTTACTCACAGAGAAATAAACTAACACTGATAGGAGAAACTTTTGGCATCAATTGCTTAGGGTTGTAGGTCAAAGAGAGGATCTAGATTTAATTTGCACAAAAAACAAGACATTCTAGTGCTCTAGACTCAGTGGCAGCCTAGGCCTTCAGGAAAGTTTACTTTTCCCTGAGGATGAGCAAAGGGCCTAATTACCTTTGTCTTTTGGGGGAAACAGGAGGGAGTAGTAAATCACTGAGCTAAATCTTGAGTTAATACAACAAGAAGTTTGAGAATCTTTTATTGCAGGGTTAATTTAGGTTATGGCTTCTCTATTTGCCAGTGAGGTAAAGCCAAGGGCATGCTTGTTTTTTCTATCTATCTAGGCAGCTATGAATCAGCAACTTTAGACGGGTAGTGATTCTATGTCCTTGGATTTTTTTATGGGTTTATTCTTTTTTATTTTAAATTTTTTATCTTAATTAGAAAGATTATTTTATATATCAATCCCAAGTCAGTCTCTCTCCCCTCCTTCCCTGCCACCCCCAACTAACACCCTATCTATCCCATACCCTTTCTGCTCCCAAGGGAGGGTGAGGCCTTCCATAGGGGCTCTTAAGAGTCTGTCATATCCTTTGGGATAAGGCCTAGGCCCCCCCCCTGGTGTCTAGGCTCAGGGAGTATCCCTCCATGTGGGATGGGCTCCCAAAGTCCATTCCTATGCTAAGGATAAGTACTGATCCACTACAAAGGGCCCCATAGATTTCTGAGGTCTCCTCACTGACACCCACATTCAGAGGGTCTGAATCAGTCCCATGTTGGTTTCCCAGCTATCAGTCTTGGAACCAAGAGCTCTCCCTTGTTCAGGTCAGCTGTTTCTGTGGGTTTCACCAACCTGGTCTTGACCCCTTTGCTCATCAGTCTTCCTTCTCTGCAACTGGATTTCAGTTCAGTTCAAGGTTTAGCTGTGGGGATCTGTTTCTACTTCCACCAGCTGCTGGATGAAGGCTATAGGATGGCATATAAGTTAGTCATCAGTCTCATTATCAGGGGAGGGCATTTAAGGTAGCCTCTCCTCTGTTGCTTAGATTGTTAGTTGGTGTCATCTTTGTAGCTCTCCAGACATTTCCCTAGTGCCTGATTTCTCTTTAAACCTATAATGTCTCCCTCTACTATAGTATCTCTTATTGGGCTGGAAAGATGGCTCAGCCATTAAAGGCTAGGCTCACAACCAAAAATATAAGTATCCTTGGATATTTGGGTTGTCTTAGATGGGATGCTTTTGCCTGAGCCCTAAACACTGACCAAATGCCTGTCAATACAGATAATTGCAGAAAGGCAGTTTTCTGCAATTGCAATGGAGAGGGGAACAAGAACCTGATAGTGGGAAACAGGCATCACACATAGCTAAGGAATATAATCAGTAAACTAGGACCTGTTAATGGAGAACAGGTATTTACACATAGCTAGGTAGTGTAATCAGTAAAACTCCAAATTCATGGGAGAAATTTGTTTTCGGTAAATAATCAGATGGTGCTAAACTGAGAAGTAAGCCGCAAGTTTGTGACAGATAAGAATAACCTACAGGAAGAATCTAACAAGACACAGCCAATTCATTCACAAGATTGTAATGCCAGGTACAGCTTCTGTTCTGGTTTCATCCATCAGAAGAATCCTTAATTCTTCTGAGCTATCTTGTGATGCAAAGGCTGTATAATTCCTGTGTGATCTTGTGGCTTGTAGCATTTGCTGGTTACATAACAATGTCATTTGTGAAGGCAGTTACCAAAAGTGGGAAGAGGTAGGCAAGTTTCAGAAAAACACAGAGAACTTGTCTATACATTGCAAAACTATCTTGTGACAGCCTTAGCCTCTAGTTTTATGGAAGCTAGTGATTTGTGCAGATGACATCTTCAGGATTTTGATAATCAGACAGGGAGTGGGTAATGAATGGCTTTCATTGGAACCCAAAAAAAGCCCAAGATAATTTGATCCCTATATTTTAACACTACAAAATCACAAAGGTTGGTCATTTGGCCTTGTAGAATCATTAGCATGGAGTTGGTGATGGACTTTTTCTTTCTTCCTCCCTCCCCCTCTTTCTCTCTTTCTTCTCTTTTTTCTGAGAACTTCAGTTCACACATTGACATCACCCTCCCAAAGCACTGAGCCAATTCCATCTGATCACAGCCTTCAACAGTGAGGAAATTCATCCGCCTCCCACACCACTGCCAACTGTAGGTTCATCTTTATCTTCACCACTCCTTAGATGGAAGAAAAACACTTCCTACCATGCTTGCTGAGAAGCACAATGATCAATCATCCATCTCATTTTCAGTGTGCACATATGGGACACAAGTGCTATGTGATGAACTGGAAAGGAGATTTGTAGCCAGAGACTGAATGCATAGACTTCTACCTCCTCTGCCTACAGCAGTCCAACAGGCAAGTCAAAGATGGGGACATGGACCACTGGACTGCAAGGAGGGTTAAGAGAGATGAATAACTGCTTCTGCAAGACTGAGGATGACAGAGGCTATGTGGAAACAGCCCAATGCTGTCCCATTTTTTTAATTTTTTTCCTTAGTTTAGAACTGTCACCTTTCAAACTTAAAGATGCACATTAATAGTCAGGCTCTTGGGTCACTCAGGGGATTTTAGAACAAAAAGGGCCATATGCTGAAACCAGAGTCGAGTTCCTAGAAAACATTAGAGGAACCAAAGACCAGTATGCTCTCCCCAAACTTCTTATGTCTCCTTACACTGAGTGCATGACTGAAAGAGAAGAGTTTCTGGAAATATCTCAGGACACATTTGGACATTGTGGATTGGATCCCATGGGAGTTAACAATGAACCTACTGCCCTAAGATGCCGCAGTGTGTTCACTTTGTGCTTAGGATGGAGAATATCAGCTTCAACAGCTCCAAAATGGATACATGCAAAACAGTTGGAGAAGCAAGGGTTTCCTGCTACAGCAATGAGAGCTTTGGTGTCCCGTTGATTATGGAAAGGCTCTGATCATGACAGGCCTCAGATGTCTGTACTTCCTTGGTTTTCACCATTGATGATGCAGTCTGTCAATGGCAACTCTCCACTTGTTTTCTGCCATGTACTGGATTGAGCCATTCTGCTGACGAACAACTCCAGCTGCTTTTAAGGAAAACATCATCCCATTTTATTCTTACACAACACATAATTAACATTCTAGGACATGAACTTGTGTGAGCCATAGCCTCACCAGTGTTGACTGAGTTCCTTCCATGTACTAGGCAGACGCTGGACATTGGAAAAATAAGTCCTTGTTCTTTGTGAATCCCAGTCAGAGTAGGTGTCAAGGAAATAAATTAAGCATTTAACCATATGAGAGGACATCTGTGTACAACAAAACAGTCTGATAATCCTGGTGTGGGTGTCGGCATCTCCACCTGGGAGACAGAGAAAAAGACATTTGAACAAAACTTTGTAATAGTGAATGATAAGAATATAATACTCTCTCTAGAATTCTCCATGTATAGAACCCAGTATCAGGTTACTAAAGGTAAAGCATTTTCATTTTCGTTGTTAGTGTTTAGTTTGTTTTCTTCTTATCTTTCCTTTTTAGTTTGCTTGTTTTGACTTCATTTTTCTGAGTAACACCTAAGAAAGCTGTAAATTATTTCTTAGTCAGTCTTACCTTGCCCTTGAGTTTAGTTGAGGTCAAGTTAAAAACATTTCTCATCTCATTCTCTAGCTACTAAAGTTAAAAAAAATGAGATCTTATAAAGTGGCAAACTGATATTTAATAAAAAGCCTAATGCATAAAACTGCTGAAGTGTTTGAAAAATACAAAGGGTTTATGGTAATATGTATCAAATCACATCCAGGATGGAAGTCTTGAAATGTTAATAGAATTGACTACAAATCCATAAGAAATTAACCTTAAGTTTATAGACATGGAAATGATAATTGGGTTGAATCAGCAAATATTTATTTGAGGGTCTCACTATGCAGCTCTAACTAGCCTGGAACTCACTGTGTAGACCAAGCAGATTTCAGAATCAAGAGAGCCCCACCAACATGCTGATATTAAATGAGTGTGACACATGCCCAGTTAAAATCAGGAGATTTTTGAAACCAGTATATTTCAGGTTATTGGACTGACATATACACACTGTCCATGGATTATGGTCATTTGGTGACTATGCCAGAGAGCCTGTTTAGGTTTTGAGACCTTAACTGTGATACTTCCTAGAGGATAAACTTTGGGTAAAAATTATGAGAAATTATGTAATATGACAAACCAATCCTCAACTGTATCTGAACCTACAAAACTTTGAGAAACTATCTCATATGCCTTAGGATTTATCATGCCACATGACTTTGAAATAAATGTCATTGATCATTTAGGTTTATATGTGAAAAACTGATAAAAGAAAATTAAATCAAATGCTTTTAGCAGAAACTAAACGTATTCTGTCACTGATGTTTCCATTGTCAGCCTGTGTATTGTAGATCACCCCAAGGAGTTCTGTTCTGAAATGGTGCCTAAATTGTATTATGATTCAGGTAATTCTAGAAAAACATTTTCCAGAAGCAAAACCAGAATCACAGGAATTTCAGAATTGTTACAGATAAACCTCACGTTAAACTACATCTATCTTAAAATCAAGAGAAAGAGATTGTTGGTCAGCCATCCTCATAGAGCTAAAACTGGCTGACTTGATGGGTTCTTTTGTTGGCAACTTAGTGAGAGAAAGCTGCTTATCAGGAGATTTATGTGTCCATAAACTAAATGTCATGTATACATAAATACAATTTAGTCCAGGTTTGCCCCAATCACCTGGTGGTTGCTTATGACACAGAACTAATCTCTAATGGGTTCCCAAATATCCTTTGCAAACAGGAAAGACAGGTTTATGGGAATAAATTACCTCCTGCTTCAGAGCTTAGCCCTGTCCAAGTGGGTTCAAAAACCTAATTGTCTCTCCGGTTGCTTCTATAACTCAGAGGTCTAGTGAGGGAAGCATTCTGCCTTGGCTTATTATGCCACCACTGATTAAAATATGTTGGATGGAGACCTGTGGAAACAGCTCATCACAAGCTTGAGGGTCTGAGTTCAGTACATCAGTACCCTAGAACCCATGAAAACAAACAAACAAACAAAAAAGACACAGTGACATGAAACTCTAATCCTACCATTGGGGACATGGAAATGAAGTGATCTCCAACGCTTACAGGACAGTCAAACTAGCCAAGTCAGTGGGTAATAGGTTGAGTGAGAGAGGCCTTGGCTCAGAAAAAAAGATAGAGGACAATTGTGGTGGTTTGACTAGGAATGGCAGCCACAGGCTCAGATATTTGAATACTTAGTCATTAGGAAGAAATGCTACTTAACAGGGATTAGGAGACGTGTCCCTGTTGGAGTAGATGTAGCTTTGTTGGTGGAAGTGTCTCATTGGAGGTGTGATTTGAGGTTTCAAATACCCAAACCAGGCCCAATGTCTCTCTTCCTGCTTCCTGTGGATCCGAATGTACAACTCTGGGCTCTTTCTCCACCACCATGTCTTCCTGACTGCCACCATGTTCTCTGCCACAAGGATAATGGACTAAACCTCTGAACCTGTAAGCAAGCCCCAATTAAATGTTTTCTTTTATAAGAGTTGCAGTGGTCATGGTGTTTCTTCACATCAATAAATCACTGAATAAACAATAATCCAGGAAGATTTAGATATATGATTTCTACTTCTGTCCTGCATATGAGCACATGCATGAAGCCACACACACACACACACACACACACACACACACACACACACTCCTTTCCTTTCACAGACTCTCCACCCTATTCTCTACCATGATTTCCAGAACTAGGCCAGGTGATGGGAAAGGGGATGAGGCAAGAAGCATCTTCCTTCCCATCTTTAGTTAGAAGGTGAGGTAAGGATACCCTTCATGCTTTTGGCAGGCAGACAGGCCCTGTGGCTTAGCACACACATTGTGCACTGACCGTTCCCATCAGATGAGTCAGTATTGATGGAAATTTGTCAGGGACCATTAGTTAACATGAATTGGAAAGAAGGATGCAGGGCCATCTCCAGTAAGTTCATGACCGTGATTTAATATGATCTTCCTGGGCCATTGGATCTTTCTACAACACCCAATGTAGCATCCAGCACAGTCTGTTGGTAAATGCTGATACCTGAGTGGAGGCTAGGAAAACATTTGCATGCTCTGACCTGAGGGGATGTGAAGTAGCATCATCCAGGTGCTGTCCTGCCTGTCTCCATTTATGGACTCCTTCATAAGTCATGAGTCAGTAAAAAACAGGAAGCATCAACAAACCACTCACACACATCACAAACTTCAATCAAAGGAATGAGAGATCCTTTGAAATGTAAAAACCAGAGGAGCAGGACAACTGCTATGAGATGACACCTTGTATGAATGACAGGGAATCTGCACCCATGAGATCTCAACAATGTGGTTGCCTGATGAAGACCTGCACAACACTGGTTGGCACACCAATATGGATGGCATCATAGAGGGATGGTGACCAATATATAGTAGACATATGTATGGAACTGTCACAGGGAATTCTATTCATTTCTATAATTATTAAAATAATATGTTAATTAAAATAATAATAAAGAAATGGATGTTTTGCATCTTGCTATGCAGCCTAGACTGCCCTCAAAGTTGTGATCTTCCTGCTTCTGTCCCCCAAAGACTGGGATTACAGGTATGAGCCACCATACAAGCTCAGATTAATATTTTAATGATCATTTGGTATTAACCAATTTTATGGAGATCAAGCTATACATCAGAAAGCCAATTTATTAATGCCTGATAAGCCTGAAAATGCCTTTTGCAAAGAATATGCATACGAGTGAGTTCCATCTATGCAATTCATATTTCAGTCAGAAAACTACCTGGGGGCCAGAAACCAAAGTAGGCAAGAGAAGGAAGATCTGCAACTGAAACATTTCAGATTTCTATTAAGTCTGCCTTCATCTCCACCAAAGTCTTAGCTGCATATACCCCATGCATCCATGACAGTGCTTCTCAGATGGCAGGGCTCTGGAGAAATATCACTGACATTTGCCTCTAGCCTCTGCCATCCTGTTTGCTGCAGCTCACCAACAGTCATTGTCACTAGCAGATTTTCTTCAGAAACTTTAATGTAAAGTCTTACCAAGCTAACCTCAAACCTGTTTTCCTTTGTACACCCAGGAGCCAGTCTGGGCTCAATAATGGGGATGCTCTCAACCCTCCCCTTTCTAAATTCTAGGCATTGTTTCCAAATAACACAGTGACAAACCAGGCCAAAACCCATTGTCCCTGCTGTCTTAAGTCTTATACAAGTTCAGTGTTTGGAGGAACTTATAGAAATCTGGCTTGACAGACTCTAGATTAGACATCCATTCAGCTCTGCTGTTGATGCAGGTAGGATGCAGGGTCAGAGTCGGGAAGTCTGACTCTAGCCCCACTGCCATAACTTAGTTCTGCACCCAGCAGCCTGCCTCCGATCTATGCATTTGCTTCTATGCCCTGCTGTGAGAGCCCTGCCTTCATTAGCTGCTTTTTGACTCCAGTTCTGCTGGCTATCTTCATGGCAGGTCACTGCAGACCTCTCAGACACTAGCTCTGGCTCTCCCTCCCCACTTGTGCCAACTGCCTCTCTCTCCTATAAGCCCACCTCAGCTCTGCTGGGTCTTCTAATTCACTCCTGAAACTGACAGTCAGACCTCCTCAAATAGAAAAGAAAAAAAAACGTTGGCAGTACAAGGTTGCAGAACATTCAATGGCCAAAATTTAACTCAAAATCAAATGCATAATCAATCTGAGGTGTTCCCAGTGGCACACCCCTGGGCTTCATGACGAGACCTCACTACAGCCTGGTTCCTGAACACAACTGTGTTCATTGAATTCCACTTGTTGTCATACCTCTCAGCGCCAGTAGAAACACCTTGGCTCAGATTCAAAATTACTGGAGTAATTTTGCTATGAGTTTTAGCATTTTTACTGTACAAACAAAAAGTTTTCTGCTCTTCCAGAAATATAATGTTTAATTACAGAGAGAAAAGACTTTTACTATTTAGCTGAATCTTACCTCATGTAAGTATATTAATTGGTATATCTTTGAGTTGCATTACTTACTCTTAAAAAGCACTATTTGAGTTATTGACTTGGGTTTCATTGTAAAACATTGTTAAAACAGGCCGGGCGTTGGTGGCACATGCCTTTAATCCCAGCACTCAGGAGGCAGAGGCAGGCGGCTCTCTGTGAGTTCGAGGCCAGCCTGGTCTCCAGAGCTAGTGCCAGGATAGGCTCCAAAGCTACACAGAGAAACCCTGTCTCAAAAAAAAAAGAAAAGAGAAAGAAAGAAAAGAAAAATAAAAAGAATGTTAAAACAATTTTGTCTTAGATCAGGAAAGAACATTAAAATGGCCATAAACACACTTCTACCATTTTGTATTGTATATTTATGTGAAGTGATGTTCTCAGCATTGATGATTATATGATCCAAATTGACCATATTGACCAACTCTGGAAAATGTTGAAAATGTGCTCTGTCCTACAGTGTCCAATTTTCAGCTAAGATTTAGTTCTTTTCATCCATGTCTTCTAAGTTTTATACCTAATAAAGAAAAAATAGGACACTACATAGTCATAGGATAAAGTTGAAAATCAAGACATCACTTAGAAATTCATCTCTTCTTAGAAATATGCCTGTACTAGCCGGTTTTGTGTGTCAACTTGACACGAGCTAGGGCAACATCAGAGAGAAGGAATCTTCAGTTGAGGAAATGCCTCCATGAGATCCAGCTATAAGGCATTTTCTCACTTAGTGATCAATGGGGGAAGGCCCAGCTATGGTGGGTGGCGTCATCCCTGGGCTGGTGATCCTAGGTTTTGTAAAAGAACAGGCTGAACAAGCCATGGGAAGCAAGTCAGTTGGCAGCTCTCCTCCATGGCCTCTAACAACTCCTGCCCCCAGGATCCTGCACTGTTTGAGTTCATGTCCTGACTTCCTTTGATGATGAACAGCAATGTGGAAGTGTGAGCCAAATAAACCCTTTCCTTCCCAACTTTCTTTTTGATCATAGTGTTTTACCAAAGCAATAGAAACCCTAACTAAGATTCAGTCTACAGAACTGGGCTTTGTTAGGTTCTAAGATGGGAAAAATTGACAGGGAGCATTAGCAATGGCAGCCATCAGTAGAGCTGTCCATTTGCTTCCTCCAGATCCTCAATCACAGTGATGGAGTCATGGGCTGGGAATGCAGCTGAGTGGTCAGGGGCTACCTAGTTTTGACCCTCAGCATCACAGCAAAAACAAAAAGAAAGAAGGGAAGGGGAGAACAAGGAAGGGAGGGAGGGAAATGGGGAATGGAGGGGAAGGAGAGAAGAAAAGGAGAAAGGCGCTTTACTTGGTGATTTTTATTCTTCTACAAGACTGAAATTGGGTGACTAAAATGAGATGGGTTTTGCAAAAGCACTAGGGGTGTTTATTTGTATGACTGTAACTGTTTTCTCCGGCAAGAGAAGGGGTGGCTCCCAACAAGCCTAGTGATTAATGGTGTGGCTCACAAACTTGAACCAGGGCTGTTCTCCAGAAGCTTTCTGTTTGAGACATTTCTCCAAAAGGGCCAGAGCAACTCTGTGAAAGGAAGGAAATGAGACGGGTCCTCCAGCACACCTGCCCCAAGTTGACGTCAGACCTGGCACCAGCACAAAACCCAGCTGGGCCTTTTGAAATGGTTC